ACGCCATTTTTCCACCACTCGGAAATGTGGTTAAATAAGCCCCACCAGAACAAAAAGGTGCTTGGTGTAGCCTTCTTAAGATTAAACACAATAAATTAAAAGTTAACATCCAAGTTCAAAGTTTGACATAAAGCAAGTTTTAAAAATACAGCTATCATTTATAGTTTGCATTCAAGCACTGCCCGTTGCTCCCAGCCAATTTCTGGATTGCAGTTGGTAGTGAAGGGGAGGCGGCGGATTTGGTTTTCAAGCAGCGACTTTAGAAGGCTGTGCTGTAAATCGGCTTGTCGCTGAATTATTACAATTGTATAATTTTATTCCTGTGTGCAGTTACATAAAATAATGCTACAGCTATGAACCTCCTTGGCCTTCCTCCAGCAAGCAGAAATGCAGGTGGCCAGGTGCCTGCACTTTAAACAACATGCTAACTACACCATGGCAACAAATGGCTGATTGAGCGAGAGAATTGTTGAGCTGTGTGTCTATTAAGAGGGTTGCATTTTATCTTGGAGTGATAAAATAGACTACTTTTGAAGGGGACAATATGGCACCATTTCTGCCATTCCTCAAACCTCAGGTAAAAAAAAATTTGTGCCCATTCTACAGAATATTGGCTAACTATGAATGTTTCATGTCATTGTCACAAATACAAAAACCAGCATATATCAATTCCTTTGGCTATAGGTAAGCCACATTAATCTTTATGCATTGAACTCTTAATGAAGAAGAACACCATTATATCTTCAAAAACAATATATTTTGTGTAAAGATTTTTAAATAATGATATTTTTAGATGCATGTGGTGAATGAATTGTCTTTATATATCAGAAATGTCAGGTAAACATGTATATACTTGTGTTTTGTAGTGGAGTTTCTAAAGATATTTTGAAGGTGTGATTTTTCATTCATATTTTCATTTTTTTTTATATTTTCTATTCTCTGGTCACACTTTCCCCAAGAAGTATATATGCAGAACATCATTATTTAGAACTAGCTTTAAACTTGAGATAGATCAAATTCTTGTCTGAGCTTTTATAATAATGATGTGAAACAAGATTTCTATAGCGCATGTGCCTATTTAATTTTTTAAAATACAGCAAATGAGTGCAATATCAGTTGAAGCTTCACCTTGATGACTTTCTGAGTAGTGACCACTGCATATGGTCAGTAGAGTGTTCTATTAACTTCAGGAAATTTTTCAGACCAGTTTCCCAGCACCTCCTTGATAGCACTATAACCAACGTGCCACAACTGACGTTTTAGCTGACATTGCCATTGTAAGCAACTCATACTAGTAAATCTTATTGCTGACTTATTGGGGCACGGTTCTTAGTTTATCTGCCACCCCCCCATCAGAATGTCGACTGTGATGTGTTACACAATGCATCCACTTTAAAAAGAATATGTTCATGTCAGTTTAGAATGAAATGCCTGCTGCATATGCCTTTCAGCACTGTGTGTTCAAAAAGCCTCTTTTTCCATATTTCTGTCGTAAGTAGGATGTATTGAATTAAGTTGTACGACATCTAACATTTGTGAATGAACTAAATACATGTATTTCTGTGATTTTTTAGACCTTTCCAAACACATATGCTTTCAAACTTTTCAGGGCAATATTTTTTCTGTATTTCTATTGTCGTTAGAATAGTGTTATGTTTTGTCTTACAGTAGATGACTATTGTAGGGTATATAGTTAGTACATCCTGTTTGTGTATTGCCACAAATTGTTCAATAGTAATTGAATAAGGGTATCACTGAAAATAAAAATGAAATCTGATACATTTTGGCTGAGTGGATATCATACTATTTTATTTGTACATAAGAAACTTCAGTGCACTGGCAGTGATCAGGTGATGCATGCACTGTATGTACACCCACCCTTACACGGCTATACTTGTGGGGATTTCCTGTGTTCTTGTGTACAAAACTCCCACACAACTTGACACACAAAATTTCAAATCACTCCAATTTAAACCAAATTCACTTTCCTGGGTTGAAATTTCGACTGTATGTCCCTTATATAAAACAAATTTTTACCCATCAAAAATTTCCCCTTTTTGAGTTATTTCCAAATATCAGTTTCGTGAAATTCTTGAGGTAAAAACTGGCCTTGTAGGCTACTTCCCGCTGTTCCGGTACCCCACAAGGACCCATGTATGAGCGCACATCTACACACACTCACCCACCACCAACCCCGTGTACACACAGTGCCATGGTATCTCCAACGTGCTATGCAGGCCCTGTGTATGGAATGCCAACAAGACAATATATCCAGTCAGTTTTGTGAAATAAGGAGGCTTTGTCTTGTACATGTAAGTTGGTCTTGTGTGGTCTTGTGAAGGTCTTAAGTGGTCTCGACTACAACACTGGCAAAACCATGCATTGGATTGAGTTCAAACTTCACATTCATATGAATAAGATGTTCCTTTACATGCATGGCAAGTTTTAAAAAAATACTGGGCATGGGGCGGCTGATTTTGTCACGGGAGACAAAATCCACTCCCCCCGCCCCCAGCTACGAGATGGTCCAAAATAACCTGGCTCTTTTAGGTTCAAATACTGATAACTGTGATGTATGTGTATGTATTTCAATGCTTGCCAGTGCAGATTCAGTAATGGGATCAGGGTGAGATATGTTAGGATTTTTACTGATTTCAGGGTTTTTCATCAGGGTTATCCAGATTTCAGGACTTGTTTGTCAGTTTCTAGAGTTTAGTGCAAAGGTGCTTTTACATACAAAAGTTTATATAGCGATAACAAATGGGTATTTTAAGGGTGCTTTAGGCAGTTATGTAAAATGAGTAATACACTTGTTTCTTTTTTTTCAAGAGGGTATTATTTTATGAACAACTTTACAACCTTTTCTTTATTTTGAGGACACAGGCTTGTTGAAGTATTTTGACAGATCTTTGATTTTGCACAGTACACTCTCTGAATTGCAGAAAAGTTTGAAATACCAAAAAAAAAACCAAGACTTAGCAAAATGCTGTACATTTCCCATAATTTAAAAAAAAATACACATCCACATGATATACAAATGTAATTTTATTGCAAAATTTGTATCAAGTGAAACGTCAGTTTCACTGGTCACCCTTGCGTCTTTGGCGTGCCATACGTGTGCGGTGTAACAATCTTAACTGCAAGCACCGGCCATTCAGTCACTGTCGGGTGGAGCTGAAAGATCATCATACCAGTGCCACAGACTCTGGGGGACTGATTGGAAAGGTACCGGCTGATTTTGTTGGAGAATATGCAGTACGTGTGCTATCAAATACAGAGTTAACTTAAGTTGTTCACTGAAGTTGTCTGTGCATGAGCAGTTTATTCCAGGAGTGAACTTTGCCAAGTGTCATGCCGACTATAGTCTACACCTGCGCCTGCATAGATGTTAATGGTTACCCTATCAAAAACTCCTGTGTGAAAATTAATTGTCTTGAAATTGAACGCTTCAAGGAATATGTTAGGACTGTAAGTAAGGTTTCAGGAGCTGTTGTGACACCTGAAAATTGGTGCTAAGCTTTTGTGTGTGAGTTTTGTGAATTAAGTCTTGAGTTATAAACTCAACGATTGACCATGTCCAACTTCCTGGTCGAGGACACACTGGTCATCAACACTCAGTCCAGTGGCCAGTGTTGTATCGAGTTGTGCCAGGGAGATATCACTCAGTTGGACGTCAGAGACAGGGTGGATGTCATCTGCGTCTCAGTGTTTGGAAGTGAGTACTTGTTAATATAAGCTTTATGTCATATATTGGACGTTGTTAGAACATATGAATACCGTCACTGCACCATCATTCAGTTCTGTAGGAAATCTCATACTTTATTTTTTACTTTTAGAATTAAATTGAGGCCAGTTGATTTATTTTTGGCAATCGCTCAAATGTGTAAAACAATTGCATATCATTTGTTCATCATTGTCTGATATATTCAGCTCTTAATTTTTATTATGTTATGATGGAATGCAGGTATTTTTTATGATCTTGCATCATAAGTACCGGTAATTATGCCCACAATCTGATATAGATTCATCTGATCATGTTATTGTTGAATAATTCATCCCAACACTTGTCATAGAAAAAGATCTATTCCATGGTAAATGGGATGTTCTTTTCCATACATGTACATGTAGTCTACAAAATGTATTTCTGAGCCTGGTGAATCCACGGAGGGAAAAACAGAGTTAAAATGTTCACACTTATTCAGGAAAATACAGAGAACTCATTTT